CATTAAAAAAGAATGCGAAGGATTAAAAGATTTTAAGTCAAATTCAGTTTACTTTAATCAAGAATGTCATGCTTCAGATTAAAGACATGCTCTCTTCTGTCGGGTAATCTGTCAATATTTTGTCTGCTTACTATTTACTTAAGGAATAAATTTTGTTTTTCTTGTTCAAGGTGGATTCTAAACTGGACCAAAGGTTTCAAGCGTAGGCTAAGTGCCACGCCCAAGCTTCCATAGACTCTAATTATGAGGTTGGACAACTTGGGAATATACGCAGGTGCGTTTTTTTTTTTCTCACCTTTGGTGCGACAACAGGCGGCGTGAACGCCGGATGAGTTCTGCATCTATCAAGAAGGCAATGCCCAACGTCGAATATATTGCCCATATTTTGAACCCGACCTGTTAAACTTCGCACCCAGGGCTGTTGGACATGCATGTTTGATTCACAATAGAAACTGTGAAAATGTGGGACTTTAGTCACCAAAATACCGCAAAAAAAAAAAAACAGAAAATTCAAAAGAATACTGCAACACTTCAATTTCCTCATCCATTTTCTTTTCAGAAAGTGAGCAGAGCGACGACAATTCTTGTAACACTTTTTAGTTTGCTTATTTTACTTCTTAGGTCGTTTTAAATTTGTTTTCTGCTTTAAAATCCCCGCGCCCTTCCCCGCGCAGAGTCTGCGGGTAAGCTGGACAGCGGAATTCTTTTTAAAGACTTGCGCTTCGAGCCCACAAGTGACGAAGCTTGTGCGCATGTCGGTCTCTTTACGGCTGCCTTCACCAGAAAGTGGGTAATAAAGGATGTTAAGTAAAAGCTTACTCTATTTTAGCCCTAGTTCTTCGAAAATAGTAGTTTAACGTATCTTTTGTGGCTTATTAACTCTTTGATCCTGAGATTGAGTCATGATTGTTCTCCGATGGCTTTTCTTACTCACTCTATTTTTCCGTTGTCGTAACTGAGTTGTGTTCACCTTTAGATCAGCCATGATCACGGCACAAAAAATAATCAAGCCAGGAAATGCCGAGCCAAATGAATTGGAGAAAAGCGTGGCAGAGGTACGATTTTTACTTCATTTTAACAAACTTTTACCCTTGAAATTAACGAATGAAAGCAGCACAATTTTTTAGTGGTATAATTTGTGTATGTCTGCTCACGTGGGAAAAACTTTGTGTTCAGTCGATTCGTAGGCTCTTCTCGAGTTAGAATTGAACTCTACTGATCTTAAGTCGCAGCTTCGAGAACTGTACATCTCTGGAGCCAAGGTTTGTCAAGTTTGATTTTTGTTGGCTTACACACTTTAAAGATTGTGTTTCAGTGTAAAAACCTGAAATTACATCCATAAGTAGTTCAGTAAACTTCTATATTTACGCCAGTACTTACAGATTTCAATAATTTTATAGGAAGTCGATGCAGGAGGGAAAAAGGCTATTGTCATTTTTGTACCAGTACCACAAATCAGATCCTTCCAGAAGATCCAGGTAGTTAAAGATATATTATATATTGCATTTGAAATTGGGATTGGTAGGAATTATCTAATGCCTGTCCCTTATTGAGTAAAGCAGCTAAGGGTTTGGTTTTATGAACTGAGCCAATAATTAAAATTTGCCACCACAGAGTATTTCAAGTGTTAGCCCTTCATCAGAGCACTTTGTTAGATTGAATTTGCTATACTGTTGGATAAAGGGCTAATGCTCGAAAAAGTCTGCTTTAGAAACTCTCAATGGTGGACAGTGTACATTATCAACTCAGGTGATAAGACCAAATTATCTTGTACTACCTCCCACCAATGCAGCACGGCAATTTCTCAAGAAAACTTTCCCCTTGTCTTAACCCTCTAATTTCCAAGATCTGATTATTAATTCTCCCCTCGAGCTGCTACATGTTTCCTTGTACATTAGTTAGAAGAATTTGGTGTTAGATCAAGATAATAACTTAAACCTGATGAGTTTGAGTATTTTTTTTTTGCCTGTTTGCTGGATGATGTATGGATATTAACACATTGACACCTGAACCGCCTGTAACAGCCTGAACCTCGCGATCGCTTCACGCCAGAACACTTTCCCCCCTACCTCCCATACTA